TTTGTTTGTTTGTTGGTTGGTTGGTTATGTTTTGTTTTTTACTTTTTAAGGTAGGGAAGCTGAAAAGGATTAGAATATGTGCAATCCTAAGAATATAATATACTCAATTCAGGAATGTAAGGAAAAAATTAAGTTTGCTGTTGTGTTCATATTTTAAGTATGAAGTAAATGAAGAAAACTTTAAATGGACTTGAATTAAAGTAATCAGTAGTCAGAAAATACAAACCAAAATTGTCAGTAATTGTTGAATTTATTCTCATTTATGGTCTCTTTCTTTGGTAGCAAGATGTGGAAGGCTACTTCTTCCTTGCAACCAGGGACTGAATAGCATCTTTGAAAGATTCTTGCCAAAAACATGGTTAGTAATAGAAGAAAAAAATAGTTGGAGGAAAAAAGGTAAAAATCAGAAAAAATGGAAAGATAAGAAGGAAAAAGTTAAAGAAGAAAGGAGAACTAAAGAGAAGGATAGGAGTGAGATAGCCAGCTGGCAGCAAAAAATAAATAATTACAAAATAAAGAAACAAAAGAAAAGGAGAGAGAGTGGAGGAAAATGAGAGAAACTGAGAAGGTAAAGGAGAGGAAGAGAGAGGAGAGAAATACATATTAAGAAGGGTAAACACAAGTGTCCCTTGATTAATCCAGACACCTCTTTACTTTTAAATCAGAATCAAACCAACCATTTTCTGACAAAATTAGTTTTCCCAAGTTTTCTTCTTATTGTCTATGATTACAATAAACTAAGGAAATCTGCATTCTTTAGATCCCTGAAAAATTAAGTAATGCTACTGCTGAACTGCACCCATCTGGGTGAAATTTAATTCTCTTTTATACTGGTTCCCCTGGCACTCTGAGACTGGGGCAAAAATAACCCAGAAACGAAGATTTGAGGCTGAATCTTGAGGAAGATTTTAGGTTTTTTCAGGATGAATAGTACCCTTTCAGTGATATCTTTCCCTTCCCTTTGCCCCACCACATATACGGACTACACTTTATTTTTGATATGCCTCAAATCCCAGGGTAAGCCAGGCCAGTGCACATTTTGTCCTTCACACGTGCCACCAAACTACAGGTTTCCCCTTCCTCCTGTCCACAGGCTGATTCTCAGTCATGTAGTTTATGAAAGACATTTTCTTCTGTTAAAAAAAAAAAAAACATCATTTCGCTCCCTGGAAAACAGATGAGGGCAAATCCATCTTTAATTGGAATGTAAATAAGATAGAGCTGAAAAAATGAGGTCCCGGGTGAGCCACAATTTTAAGGAATTACAGAAGAACTTTTTGCCCTCTC